CCACGAATTATAGCAAAGTACCTCAACCTACCTGAATGGGCTTTATTTTCTGGGCACTGTTTTAGAAGGTCTTCCGCGTCACATTTGGCAAATAGTGGCGGTGATTTAATTACGGTGAAACAACATGGAGGCTGGAAGAGCTCTGCCGTAGCAGAAGGTTACATCGAGGCATCCATTAGCAAAAAAATGGAAGTTGCCGAAATGTTGTCAAACAGTGGTGGACCTCCATCAGTTAGACAGTCTACTTTTACTGCTCCTCCAGCAACAGCTTCCAGTTCCAATGCTGGTTTTATACAGCCTGAATTAAGTAACCCAGAAAATACTAATGTGTCGCAGCAAAATCTGCCCGGCATTTCCGTCAATGCAGGAGTAAATTCAACCGTTACAATTACTATTTACAATAATTACAACACCTCTTCATAATGTATAATTTTGTACAGTTAAGCTGTTAAGTTGTTTAGTTTCATATACTTTCTGTTTTATTCTTATTCCGCATTACTTATTTATTACTGACAACTGAGAGCAGTCACTTGATCAATCGTATTGACGTAGGTTGCTAAAGCTAGCACGGCTTTCTGATATCATACTGTAAACAAAATGGGCCCCCGAAATCTCAAACTGCATACGAAGTGTAACGCAATTTGGCTTCAGTTAGTTAGTAGAGGAAATTCCGCTTCAATCTTGACAAAAACTCCTTATGTGAAGGATGCAGCTTTCGATGTGGGATCTTCGACCAAAGTTATCCGAATATAATAACTGAAATAATTTAGCCATGAAGAACTGTTTGCACCTTAACAATTGGAGTTATTTTACCCAACTTACAGCTTACCTTACGATATCAAAAATGTGTTCATTTTAATAAAAATGGTTTCCTTTAGAGTAGTAGATACTTATTCGTATATTTCGAGGTCTTCATTTTATGATAATTACTTTGCCCTTGCAATCAGTTCATACCTACAAGTAGGGTTAGTTAAGTATCAATAACATATTTATGACAACGAAACAACACGGCTCACCGTAACATATGTATATTACATGGACATTATCGATATTGTTAATTACATTACGTATCTTTAAGTTATTTAGAAATGATCGACGTTCACGGCACATAACATCAGCTTCCGTCATCGATACGCCGACTGTCAAACTTATGCAAACTCTCGAAAAAAAAAGTCACTAAAAATCGTTTAAGAATAGAGTTCAAACTAACACTAAAATACGTGCGAGAATGACGTATTCTAACACCGAAACAGAGAAATGCATTACGCACACTCCGGATAGAAATATCACAGATGGTTTGCAATACCAATTTATTGGATGAACGCGAGAGTATTTTTACATTGCTCTTCATTTTGAAAGTTATGTTCCCATATCGTGTTTATATTAAATATCACACTTACATTCATATACTGCGGACAAATAGAAATAATGTGATGTGGTGTTAAATTAACACCCACATTGTTCGCATAATGGCCGTTCTTCACCTGCCAACAAATACCCATGAGTGAGAGCAGTATGTACAGGACAGACAATTAAATAAAGAAATCTTAATTACCTAGGTACTTTAAGTTTTTCAATATTCCAATAAATGTGGCTATACAAATTTTGTGAAAATCGGGCGCACTCGGAACTCACACAAACACACACTCGAACTAACATTTTTTTCATTAACGGACAAAACGCTTTAAAAACGTTTCATGAATTTACGTCGTTAAAACTTAAATCTCACAAGTTCAAACGTCTAACGTCGATATAGAAAAGCGGATCCAGACTAGGTTTGATCCTTTTCAAAGCCCTATCAGACTCCGACCACTGCTCACTCCACCGCTCATAGATTTTACTTTTCACAAGTCCACGCCGTGCAGTAGATGACATACTCGTGAAGTCAATATTCTCCAATTGGAGGTGGTTTAATACCTGTCTACCCCTAACACCTAACGATCTACATCTGTATAGACGAGCACTGGTAGTAGCATCAGTAAGGGATCTAAAATTTGGATGTTTATCATCTAACCTTACTTTTATATAGTAATTTGCAACAATCTGTTTCCGGCGAAGAACTAGAGGGGGAATATTTGCCTCGACGTAGAGCGATGGAACTGGACTTGTTGGATATGCTCCCAAAGAATATCGAATAGCCAGGTTCTGAATCTTATCAAGTTCCCCAAGCAAAGCATTATTGCCACACGTAGAGTACGCTGCACATCCATAATCCATCCTTGATAGGATGAGGGCCTTATATATATCTAGTAGGGTCATAGGGTGAGCTCTCCACCTATGATGAGCGAGAACTCTCATGATGTTCAGCGATTTTCTACATGTAGCAGTAACATTATTTAAATGCTTTGACCACCGTAATTCCCTGTCAAAGGTAAGCCCGAGAAACTTGACTTCCTGAACAACACTGATTACACGATCATTCATTAGTAGCACAGGATCATAGTGCGGTCTACGGAGTCGGCAAAAGTGGACAGCCTTTGTCTTTTCCTCCGACAGCACAAACCCGACCGCATTGGCGTTACTACAGATTTTGTTTATGGCCACTTGTAGACTTCGAGTTATTGCACCGACCGTCTTACCAGAACAACAAATCATTAAATCATCAACATACAAACATTTATCAATCATCCCCTCAACACCTTTAGCTATTTCGTTTATGACGATGCCAAACAGGGAACAGCTAAATGTTGACCCCTGCGGCACACCATTTTCGTGATTATATTATAACATGCCTAAGCCTAACAAAACACGTTAGTTGCACTTCACTACATTGTATTTTGTATCTTTATCGGGAGCGGAATACTGCTTAATTTACAAATCTAAAGGATTTCCTTTATCTTACCAAAAGAAGAGAATAAACTTAATTTGTGCAATAATAGCTGAGCTGCAAAGTATATATTTTTTCTAATTACGCCAAATGATACAATATTATTCTAAAAGTCTGCATTACAATTCTACAATAGCTCCAACAAAATTTATGAAATTTCGGTGAAAAACAAACCATTTGTGCATATATAGTTGAGCATAGTAAAAAAATTTGCTGTGGCTGATACCACCCGCATACCTGTGCATTCGCGATTCTGCATTTTATGTCTAAGAATATGTGTACCAAATTTGGTTCCAATCGATTCAGCCGTTTACCCGGAAATTTTGATAAATATATACAGTGAGTTTTTTTTAATGCGAACATAGGAGTTTGCATGCAATGTAATTCCTTCGTAGCAGATCGTGGAATAGGCCGGCCTACCGACACGTTAAAAAACGCGCCAAGTAACGAGTGATCCAAAATAACTGCAGACAGTTTAAATGTTGAGCTTAAAGTTTTTAGTGTTTTTTACTTTACAATATGCAATAATTACCCTAACGTTTTACAATTTGGATTAACGGTCTTTCACTTGGAAAGGTTAACAATCCTTCTGAACTTCGCCAACGAATCAAGAAAAGTAATTACTTTTTATTGCAGAGGTTATCACGGCCTCGAGACGTGTTAAATTCACAAACTGTTTCAACTTATTGACTCTTAACACACTAGTCGGAAACTAAGAAGTGTTTGCTGTTGGGGGAAATGTACATCCATGTAACTTCATTGCACAAATACGTTTTAATAGAAAACCATTGCCGCTAAATATGTTTTCTCTGCGCGTATTGCCGAGAACCCCTACAACACGTAGACTATAAAACTTAAAGTTTATTGCTGTCATGTTTTCCTTTCTATAATAGGTACATGCCTAAAACTTCAAATGAAATCCACGTGTACGTGACAATTACGTTAAACAGGTTCGCTTTTGTGATAGATAACGCCCATTTTTTTAAAAATAAACCTACTTTTCTTTAACGCGAACTCTCGTTACAACACCATCGATCACAACATCTATCCCGTAACAAAAGGTTCACCTTCAAATTTATGGAGATTTTATACTAGCCCGAAAGCGCTGAATTTAAGGGATTAGTAAAATAACACGCTTAGGAGAGGACTAAATTTCATACAAGAAAACCCGGGGGACATATCTCTATCTTCTACCATTTTTTAATAATAACCATTTGAATAAAAGGCTCGACGTCTGTAACACTGTTGAATGGATATAACACGTAAACGGGTTAAGATAGATACATGCCGGGTGTTTTGTGCGAAATATGGTCCCTTCATTTGCGTAAAATCGTATAACGGCGAGTTAAGTTAGCGCTGCGTAAAAAAACTCGGCGAATAACGGCCATCTAGCTCATAGACGTTTCAATTAAAAAAAAATATGAAAAACTTTACAGCGATGGTTCGTGCTAGGCATATATATCATCGGCTTCGTTGCAACTTACCCAAAGTTGAGCGCCACCCAGCTTCTCTATTTAATATTCTCTGTAATTGGGCGCAAGCCTGTTGAGGGCCCAGAACAAGAGAGGGATAATAAATAAATAAATAAATTATACTTAGTGCCAAATAAAATCACTCCAAAATCAATGAACGTTCTGCAAACCTTCCTACAGATCCAAAATATTCTCAAGTATAAACAGTACCAATTAATATTAATTTAAAAACTACATTTGATGAGAATATTGGTACTAAATTTGGTTCTAATCGGTTCGACCGTTTAGCAGGAAATGAGAGTACACACGGACCGACAGACCCACACACAGACCGGCAGACCGACATCATCGAGATTTTGTTTGATTCGGATTCCTGCTGGTTCAAAGCCCCTATGCAATACCTCCCTTTACTAACGTGCGGGTGGTAAAAATCAATGTGATAACGGACAATAATTCCTTCGGCAGTGAGAGCACAAATAATAAAACAAAATCTTACCTTAGAGTAAATGTAGTCGTCGACGAGAGCTCCCATCGATACCATTCCAGGCTAAAACAAACAACAATCCACGTATCTAACTACGTGGCTTAACAATTACTGAATGATGCCTGAAGGGCCAAAAATTTCTTGTTCATTATCGAATACATCTATTCTTTCTCTGATGGAGCTCATATTTACATTAATACCGAGAGCAAAGTCGATCAAGTATCGATGAAAATTTATTAGATCCCAGTAAAAAAAGTCTTGTTATAATTACTTCCCGCTGACCCAATGACCTCGTTCGATGTAACAAAATGGCCGCCCCTTTGTTATCTCGGGTGCTTGATAATGAGCTGGTGTTCGTTCTTATACGGTACAGATGCCAGGATAGAATTTAATCGGATACGTGAAACCGGCGTTCAGGACAGAACTTAAAAAGCATCTGACCTTAATATGCAGCCCTAAGAGACATATACTATGTAACATCCCAGCTAACAGATCTCCCTCATACCTCGTAAGACAAATGAAAATACCGAAACGATTGGCCACAGGTTCGACTTCTGCAGTGTTCCTAAAAGAATGCCAAAATTAACCAGGTGGAAAACACAGTGGCTGTACTTACTTGATAAGTAAAAGATCCACATCAAATCCTCCTTCACCCGGAGAAAATTGCAGAACTCCGTCCAAAACAAATACAGGTTCAATCGCTGGAGGTATATATATTACTTGGTTATTGCAATTAGAACCACATGTTTTTTCCAACTTTCACAATGGAAGGCGTGTTGCAGTACCTACAATATGAACTGGAAGTAAAAAAAACGAAGAAGCACTCTGAAGCTTGCACGGAATCGAAGGGTCCCCTTATTAATAATCACTAGAAAAAATATCATCTCGCTGATTAAAATATTTTCTTTTAAAAGTTGATTAAATGTGCTTAAAGATTTCAACTTGGGTCAGTAACTACGTGCCTAATTAAGAATGTTTATGTATTACAGTTTTCTGTTGGAAACAGTGCCTCGGGGTTTTTTTGGAAAAGTAGAGTAATTTAACTCAAAACAAAAAAGGACAATCAAACAAGCGATTCGGTAATTTATAAAATAAAGGTAGGTAGATCAAGAAGGAATCGACGACTTAAGGATAACCTTTGCGACGTATTTTCATAAATTAGTAAATAGGCAGGATCGACATTTTTTGATTTTTACTGAAATCGGGAGATTTTGATAAAAACGATCAAAAAAATGTGATGGCAAAATATTGATATTTACGTCCGCTGTAAGCATTTTAAATTCAAGGGTCAGCGCCAAGAGAAAAAACGTACCTGCGCGCGAGACTAGACCCCGTGACGTCAGTAGCCAACACATTTGCCGCCGCGTTGGCAGATTGTACGAATTCATGTTAACTGCTATTTGTGAACAGTAGGACCTGGAGCACCTACGCTATGGAGAACAGTAGGTGTTGGAGTCCTACGCTATGGATGAACAGTAGGACCAGGGACAGTCTTCTTCGCTATGAGGAACAGAAGTCGACTGAATTTTTATGGTCATCGTATTACATGCCTCCGACATCCCTAATTACAGGGATGTCAGAGGTGGGCTGCTCGGGCTTGCTTGCCTTCCCTTTCCTTGCATCCACCACTCATTCCAGGGGCTTGTTTGATATTTAACAATTGGCGATTTGAGCGCCTCCTTTTGAACGGCGCCCAGGGCACGTGCCCTGCCTACCCTACCCTAGCTACGCCACCGATAGATCTATTCAGGAGTTTTTGATCATCGGGCAATTTACTACTGAAAATTTGTACTCGGCCATCATTTCACTCACTTTTATAGCTCAACATTAATGGTAATGCTAGCTTTAACATAACAAACTTTCAAATTAAAAATAGGAACTTATGGTATGGGTAAAATGTGTAGATTTCGTTTCCTTTCCTGCACGCAAATGTCAGAAATGAGGGTTAGCTAACAGGTAACACTGATGCATGCGTGGAATCTTTGAATATATTCAAAGGTGGAATTGAATACCGTGATCAAGTGTTATACCTATCTGCCCAGTGTAAAAAAAAACTAGTAGTTTCTACGCTACTTTACGATTGACGAAATTAATGAACAGTGCGAAAAATACGAGTAGAAAAATTTTAAGACAACAGCACCACAGCGGATTCTTTAATATGGCTATTGGGTGCTGCAAAGAATAGTAAATGACGATGTATTATTAATAAACTGTTTATACCCCAAATGTGGGAGCAAACTTTACGAGTAGGTAGAACACAGAACTAAATGTGTTAGTTAAACAATAATATTTACATTACCACACTGTACATCGAGCGAAGGAGCGAAAATGATATTAGTTATGATGTTTACCTTTTGAAACGTAAGGGGAACCGATTCATCGTCACCTACCCAAATGCGCAATTATTCAGAACACGAAAATGATCTTCATTTAGGGGCATCAAATATTAAAAAGTTACTGACATACTAACCTAATTTCAAATTCATTTCAAGTTTACAGCACAGAAGATCCCATACTTAATTTTCATACAAATTACTTCCTTAACTTTTAAATTTAAACTCAATTACTTAGGCAACTTACAAATTCATAAACGATTTAACATCGTTTAGGATTTTTACATAATGGTATTTCCTTTCCCCTTAAGAAACGAAAATTGCACCTGTCCTTAGAAAACTTTGTAATTAGTAACCCACCCTCCCTCTCGACGTTTTTCATGGAGATAATTTAAAAATTTTTTCTCATTTCATTCCTTCGATAACGTAGAGCTTTTAGCTCATCGTGACGGTTTTTATATAATATACCTAAAACGTTGCCAAGTATTTTAGAAAGGTTACTCTCTAATGAACGCAATTACTGAGAGTAATTGGATTACCTACAACGTTAATTACGTTGTAACGACTCTTTAATTATTTACTTTTATTGAAGCAGGATTAGACTAAAATTGTACATTATAAGGTAGATTCTGTGAAAGACCGTAAAAATATTTTATAAGGTTCAATTCGTCAGTTTTAGTATGCAAATCTCTGTTCTTCGTGAAGGTAATCCCTTGTCAATCCTTTCATTGTTCAATGGCTTTTGAAACTCGCAAAATTGTTTACAGTATCATTTTTAATTGACGAACTTGATTACTAACTATTACCACACAATGTTGTCTATGCTATTACTAATTCAAGCTTTCCTTGCTGTTATTAAATTGTGGAATGAAAATAAAATCTATATTTCCCACATTAGTACAAAATGATTTCATCGAGGTGTGAAAATCAAGTGCCTTTACAACTCTGCGTTTTGGTCAGCTACATATTGTAACCTTCCGAATTTTCTTTCTGCTGAGTTACCTGATTTCATTCTGTGTACTTGATCTATTTACCTACTTTTGATTATTTAAATATTTTCCTGTCGCGGTATTTAATCTCTTACATATTTCTTGGTGTCAGCCATTCTGTCGTTTGCAAACTTCCTGTGAGTTCATTAAGTCGTAACCTCCACTTATAAGATTAGCAAATATATTTGCACCGCGTTTTTAGGGCATTTTTGGAAAAAAATACACTATTATACAGGGAGATCCATAATCATATGCTGCGCCGCTCTTATAAAATATCACATTAGTAATCATTTGCCGCAGCCTGGTATATGTGTACCAATACTAAACAATAAACATAACCTATAATTCAATCCTCCTTTCGCTCGTTTACGTATTTTCCTGCACAATCGCCCTTTCCAAAACAGCCTTTTTCAAGACTACCAGTTTCTTTCGAATATTTACAAGGTGGGTAAATGACTTTTTGAATTGTAAATAAACGTTTTTTTTATTGTAGCGTGTAATAGGTGTTCTCTGGCATGCCTTTTACGTTAGAAGAGAATAAGATGCTTTTGCAGTCCTATTTCCGTAATGGGACTAAAGACGAAAATGGAGTTTGGGTGTACTCGATCCGTTTGTGTATACAGGAGTTTCGAGAAACTTATCGGGATAATAATGAAGATTACAACAATATACGTCGAAATGTTCATCGTGTACTTGAGCGGTTTAACAATACGGGGAGTGTTGCTTCTGGGAAGTCACCTGGCCGCCCAGTGATTGCCAATGAGGAGGTTGTAGAAGATGTTCGTGCTCGGCTAGAACAAAGTCCCAAAAAGCCGTTGCGACAATTGGCCCAACAAACAGGCTTCTCATACGGAACGTGTCACACTATTGTCCGGAGAAAATTGCACTTTTACCCTTACAAAGTAACTGTGTTACAAGAACTACATCGTCCAGACTAGCAAACCCGTGTAAATTATTGCAATTGGTTTAATGCAAATTTACGAGATAACAACATATTGGACAAGACTTATTTTTCTGACGAAGCATGGTTTCATTTAAGTGGCTATGTGAATTCGCAAAACTATCGTACTTGGAGTGCAGAAAATCTACATATCTATCAGGAAGCTCCACTTCATCCTCTTAAAGTAGGCGTGAGGATAGCGATGTCGAGGAGGCGGATTTTGGGACCGATTTTCTTCAACGACACTGTTAATGCGGAACGTTATCGTGGGATGTTGCAAGTGTTCATCGATCAACTTCACGATGATGAATTGCAAGAAGGTTTTTTCCAACATGACAACGCAAGTGCACAAACAGCTGCCGCGACAATACAATTGGTACAGGATTGATGATCGAATGATCGGAAGGAACCTCTGGCCTCCAAGATCACCTGACTTAACTCCCTTGGACTACTTTTTATTTGGTCACCTGAAAAACGTGATATATCGAAACCGTTTGCACACGATTGCCGAATTACGAGCAGCTATAGAAGCTGCTGTTCAGAATATCACGCAACAGCAGTTACACGCCGTCTTCGAAAACATGAAGAAACGAGTGGATGCCTGTCTTAACAGTGGTGGCGGTCACTTCGAACAGTTTTTATAGTGTGCTAATTTACACAATTACATTGTTATTAACAAGTTGTACAAGAAATAAAACCATGTCAATTTTTGTCTTAATTTGCTATTTGTGTAATTTCGCATAATTTGTAAATTAAAAAGGTTAAACTGTTGATTGAAATTAAACGTCAAAACATGTGTATTTTGAATTTTAAGGTTGTGTTTTAGTATTGGTGCACTATCGCGCGTGTTGCGGCAAATGATTACTAACGTCACTATTAATTGAAGCGGCGCAGCAACTCAATATTGATCGCACTGTACCTATTCGTTATGGCTGGCGGCTGGCTGTCCGACTGAGATCTCAGCAATTACAATAGCTAGAGGCTTCAAATTTTCACTAAAAGCTTTCTGATGTAGTGTAGATGTCCAGGCTCTAGTCTATTTTGAGTTATATTACTCGTGAGATCGATAATTTTAAACTTTGCTAATGAAATACTGATCTGCATTACCAAAAATGCGCTTTCATCATGCATATGCTGATTTACAACTTGTTTCCAAATATCTCCGAAAGTATATTCGGAACTCAGTTACAAAACGGCATTTTGTTAAGCATCAAAATACGCAACTTTGCCAAATTTAAACTACCTACCTATCTCTTACAGTTCCCGAGATCCTCAGATCCCCATGGTGGCCCTCGAATATCAGCCTGTATACAGTCTGTTTCAAATTAAGTCGGCACTCTTGCTAACTTTCTTAGTTGTAGAGTTAGAAAGACAGTAAAATTACCAAAATCGTATATTTTTGTCTGCTGAATCCAAATCTTTAATTAAAAAAAACAAAAACCATCGAAATTTCAAATAACAAAAATGTCATTTTTA